TTCGCTCGCTCATCTTCTAATGTGAATGATTATGCATGTTTGAGAATGGTTGCCTGATGGGTCGGCGCTTTTATTAGACTCGGAGTAACGGGGCAGGGGTGCATAGTACATGGAACACTTGACCATATATGGCTGCCATTTTCGCACGCTTTGATTACCGTCCTCGTCCCGTCTTCCGCCGCCCCCTTGATTACCTCTCCGTCCGTCCCCTCCCCCACCTTGAATTCCCCCTGGACTATCGTGTCTTCGCCAGCCGCACATTTTGTCATCACTTCGCCGCACGTCTCCTGTGCACGGTCTTCCCCCATCGTTCCCCCTCCTTCCCTCTCAATATTCTCCTCTTCAGTGTCGCCTGGGTGCAGTTCAACCATATGGAGTTGTACTGTATCATTTCCGGCACCTTTCCCGCCGTGGAGGACTACGAGTCCCTAAGGGATAATGTCCTCCATACCATCCCCTCCTTATACCCCGATTACCTACTATCCCTGTCCCGACCCAATCATCGCTTCCCCCGCGCACACCGGATCGTCCATTTCGTCGATCTCGGTGAAGAAGCGGCGGATTACTTTCCTCCGCTCCCATCTGAGTGGCCCCGACCTCTCCATCACCCTCTCCTTGTCGACTACCGCGGGCGGACTTCCAATGACGGGGCAGGGGTGGAGAGCACACGAAGAATCAGCGGACGATGATGGCGTCCCCTGGACAATCTCCGACCATCGAGAAGGTAAGGGGATTCCAGCAGCTCGACCCAGCAGACTCGCGAAGATATTGCAATTGACATTGGCGTCAACATGAACTCTGGCTCAACTCTCTGTGCTCATGCAGACACTTTCTCTCCTGATACGCTTGGTTCCTCATTTATCCTCTCTTCCCCCTCCCTCCTCCTCCGCCATGGCATGCAATCAGGAGATCGCACAATTTTGGAAACCCCTGCGCGTCACATATGTGACGAATCAGCTTCCGGGCCTGCGCCATCTTTCGGACCCCTTTTCCTTTCCGTGTTTTCTCTGCATCTAGATGGGTCTTGATCGGCCCTCGAAAGCCTCCCCTCTGTTTTTGTTCGATTAAGGGTACCTTGTTTGTCAGCACTAGTAGTTCTTGAAATTCCGTCATTTTTTTATATTTGGAAATGCATGGGAATTATGCGCGCCTTAGTGAGCGCGCTCGGAATTTGGCTGGACAGTTAGGAATTTCGAAATTAACAGGACGCGGCGTGTCCTTTCACGCGCAAATGTTCTCGGCCTGGACATGGAAAACTTTGGGAATTTTGTAGGAATAGGGATGGGCCTAGGACCTTCTTTCTTTTCCCGCGTCTAATTTTCGCGCGGATATGGTGATTTCAATTTTTGAATTAGCGTAGGACTGGGAAAAACTGCAACTGTTTCGGTGCCCATTCTTCTTTTGCTGTTCGACACCATGCAAGTGAGCTCCCTCCTCCTTCCTTCTCGCGCTCCTCTCAGCGCCTTCCCTCGCGCGCTCATGCTTTTTCGCTCCCTCCCCCTGTAACTGTTTTTCTCCCTCCTTTCCCGCGTGCGCCCTTTTTCTCTTTCTTGATCATCTGAATCTTGGACCCGTTTCGCGCTATCCTTCGCACTCTTCCTCTTCCCGCTCTAAAACCTGCGCTCGAAAACCCGGTCGATCCTCTTTTTCCATCTAGCCAAGGAGAAG